TCAAACTTATGACTACAACTTCTTTTGAAAGAAACCACAACTAAAGTTAAAAAAACAAATTTCATACTAGGCCATGATTTGCAACTCACATAATCCACAATGATCCCTAGCCAGAATTTATCAACAACTCCTACACAACAACATGAAAAAGAAACATCCTGACAGACAAATAAGCAATGGATATGAGCCAATAAACAAGAAAAGATGCTGGGTCTTACTGTAATTGGCAAAAGGCAAAGCAATACAGTCTCACAATGGAATATTACACAGCAGTTAAACAAAGTAGAGCTATAAATCTCAAAAATGTTGAGTGAAAAACATTTGTAGCCCTGGCCGGTTTGGTTCAGCGGTTAGAGCGTCGGCATGCGGTCCTGAGAGACCCGGGTTCGGTTCCCGCTAAGGGCATGTACCTCGGTTGCAGTTTGTCCCCGGCCCTGGTCGGTTGTGCGGGTGGCAGCCACTCGATGTGTTCCTTTCACGTCGATGTTTCTCTCTCTCTCTCTGTTCCTCTCTCTCCCTCCCACTCTACCTGGACAAAAAAATGGAAAAATGTCCTCGGGTGAGGATAAAAAAACAAAAAAAACAAACAAAAAAAAGAAAAACATTTGTAAAAAATTGACCCGATTTATGCCATGCTTGAAATAAATGAAAGCATGTTACATATTTTATTTATTTTTTAGAAAATATTTTTTCTTGTTCTGGCCCCTTTGGCTCAGCAGTAGAGCATCAGCCCATGGACCAATGAGTCATGGGTATGATTCTGGCTAAGGGCATATAGATCAGTTGCAGTTTGTCACCAGCAGAAGGCAACCAGTTGATGTGTCTCTCACATCGATGTTGCTCGCTCTCTCTCTCTCTCTCTCTCTCTGTCTCTCTCCCCATCTCTCCCTCCCTCTTACTCTATCTGAAGATAAATGGAAAAATATCCTCTGGTGAGGATTTAAAAAAAAAAAAAAAAAAAAAAATATATATATATATATATATATATATATTGATTTTGGAGAGAGAGGAAGGGAGAAGGAGAGAGAGATAGAAACATCAATGAGAGAGAACATTTATTGGCTGACTCCTGCATACCCCTCACTAGGGATCGGGCCCACAACCTGGGCATGTACCCTGACCCGGAATGGGACCAGTGACTTCTTGGTGCATGGGTCAATGCTCAACCACTGAGCCACACCGGCCGGGCACCATGTTACATATTTTAAATAAATATTTAAATATATAGTCATGGTAACAAAATCATACTTGGAAATGAAACATCGAGTCTTGGATAGCAGTTGCAGTTACAGTGGCACATTGAGTCAGATTGTACTGGCTTGCCTGAGCGAATTCTGCATCTCTTCCTAATTCCATGCTCAGCGATGTCTTGGTAGGGGCATGAAATCTGCTGTGGTGGGAGTGTTTGTACCATAGGAATTGGCAAACACTACCAATCCCAGGTTCCCCTCCCTTGTCCTCAGCCTGGAGAACAGGTTTATCAACACTGTGCCATTGACCCCAGAGTGAAATGCAATTGGGAGGAGTACACATGAGGCTTCGATATTATTTGTAATGTCATTATGTTTTAAATAATTACTAAAGCAAATATGGCATAAAGAGAGGCGTTGATAGAGTGGGGTGGTTCACGGGTGTTGATCATATTACTCTGTGCTTCTCTGTATTTTGGAAATATTTCCCGAAAAACAAAACCTAGTCATCATAAAACCATTTCTTTTTTACCCTCTTTAATTTTACAGATTTAAATCTTGCTTAGTTGGTCATAATAATATTATATGATGTTGAGAAACCTGGACCTGAGTAAATAATAGAAACTTTTAAATTATTTCAAGCCCAAACCTAGATTTGTTGGGTAGTTGTACCTTTGAAGTCAACTGATGTGGGGTGGTATGGTCTAAAAGATTCATAAGAAGCATTAACATAAAAAGGCACATCAGTATTCTTATTTAACTAAATATATTAGCAAAGACATCTGAGCTCTATATTTAGACTCCAGATTTCACAGAAAATAATAAAAATGAATAGAGACAAAACAGTACAAACAATTCAACTATAAAAGTTAACAAGAAGATATTCTGGAACATACTTATAATGAAATAAAAATAATAATACCAATAGAGATTTGACAAAACCAGGTATTCAAATGGGCTGGGTTGGATTTCCAGCGCTATGTCCTTGAGCAAGAGACCGTCTACACTATACGACCCATTCCTGTCTACCAGACAGGACCCGCGCGCTCTGAGATGTGCATCTGATCTACCTCACAAAGCTAAGAGGGTACATTAGAGAATGCATGTGCAGGAGGCTATGTAAATGGGATCCACACAGGGGATAGGCCCGAACATGGTCACACACAGTGGTGTCACTGCATCGATGCCTCACACATCATCATCAGGGCTCTCATTCATGCTGACTCGGGTTATTTCACACATGTCTGACTTCCTCGTTGAGAGAACGCCAAAGAGAAAAGAACAGAGAACCAATTCAGAACTTGAAAGGTCTTCTCAGTCTTCCAACTGCTGCAGACTGGGCTCTACTGGCAAGACCCCATGTTGCTGACACAGGGTGACTCCATTCTCATCTTTCTTTAAATGAGCAGACACATGAAGTTCTGGACTCCAGGGCGGGGAACCCTCCCTGTATCACACACAGTGAGTGGGAGTCAGAGAGGCCCAGATGAGGCAGATGGGGTGAACACACGCAGGGCTCTAGGTCTCTGAAGTAAGCAGCAGATAACGAGTCACTGCCATCAGCTCACAGCCAAACCCCAGGAAGGTACAGGCCGGGGCCTCCCGCGATCTGGCCACATCCCTCTGCCCAAGTTACAGTGCCATTGGTGGGCTCTGGAAGGCTCGGAGGATTTTACCATCAGCAACATGGAGGGGGGCTGCTCTAACACCAGCACATTGCATGGACATGTGGACTCTACATGCCCTAGTTCAGCTTTTTATGTCCTTTCTCTGTTTTCTTATTACTGTGTTTATCTGATCTAGACAGTGTTTCTCAACCACAGTGCACATTACAAACATCTGAGGACCTTTTAACACTTCCTGGTGCCTTGGCCCCACACCAGTCCCATTAATCAGAATTCCTGGGGGTAGCAGCCCACATATTTTTTTTTTTAAAAGAAAAGCTTTCCAGCCCTGGTCGGTTTGGCTCAGCGGTTAGAGCGTCGGCCTGCGGTCCTGAGAGACCCGGGTTCGGTTCCCGCTAAGGGCGCGTACCTCGGTTGCAGTTTGTCCCCGGCCCTGGTTGGGTTGTGCGGGTGGCAGCCACTCGATGTGTCCCTTTCACGTCGATGTTTCTCTCTCTCTCTCTGTTCCTCTCTCTCCCTCCCACTCTACCTGAACAAAAAGTGGAAAAATGTCCTCTGGTGAGGATAAAAAAAAAAAAAAGAAAAAGAAAAGCTTTCCAGGTGATTCTATCCAGTGTGCAGCCCAGGCTGAGAACCACTCTCGTGGAACATGCAAGCTGGTGTTCAAAGGCTACTGAATCAAATGACAGAGATGTTGCAACACTGGCATCTCTGACATCCTCGTTTTCCAAGCTGAAGGATGAGTTGATGCAACTCGGCAGGCACATCTCCCAGCAGCCAGGCTGTGCTAGCGGGTAGGGACTCAGAGGTGGCAAAGGGGATGTGGATCTCAGAGAGCTCCCATACACTCATTTCAGTACAAAGAGTGGGGAGGGTTTATAACCTGCATCGTGGTTGAGTCGCATGATGACAGGACACCGCAGAACGTCATAACGGGATGTTACTAAACAAAGTCGGTCCTCACCGCTTAATATTTTTGGGTTTATTCTGTGTTGGCATTGAGCTGGGTACTGTAGGTGGATCAGCTCACTGAAACTTCACAATAACCAAAGGAGGTAGGTATTCTTATTGTTCCTATCTATCTATCCATTCATTCATTCCACAAAAGTTCTGATGCTCACTATGGGCCAGGTGCTGTTTCAGGCCTTTGGGCTGTAACAAAACAGATGGATCCCTGCCCTCAGGGAGTGTTCTGTAAGTGGGAGTGGGGAAGAAAGGAACAAGACACGTATCCCAAAAGTCAATCACATCATATGTTAGAAACTGCTAAGTTCTGGGAGGAAAAGAAAGAGCAGAGTAGGTAAGGGGTGTGTGTGTTTGGGGAGGAGGGGCACCACCTAAGCGCATTGAGATAGGAAGAGCTGAGCAAAGACTTGAACTGAAGAGTTATTTATTTGACTCCATTAAAGACTCACAGAAGGATATATACATGGCTCGGCTGGGAGACGAACCCAGATAACCGAGTAATGAGGTACGTGCCCTTAGAGGGAACCAAACCCAGGTCTCTCTGGTCCGCAGGCCGACACTCTAACCCCTGAGCCAAATTGGCCAGGGCAGAGTCTGTACTCTTAACCTGCCTACTACCTGGTCTTTCAAGAAGTATCACACTACGTTAGAATAACTCACTTGCTTGCCCAGCCCCTCCAGCTCCCTGTCTGTTTTGTTTACTATGGAAACTCTCTAAGCCCAGTGTCTGCTACATCATAGGTACTTAATACATGTTTGAATTAAATTAATCATTTTCAATTTTAATGATTAACTAATATGAATTAATATATATATATGATTTAAAGTTTTTATTGTGTGTTTACTGTGTCCTGTCCACTCCCTAGACAGAAGAACATTTTCGGGAGGTGCAGTGGAGGTGAGGATGCTGTAGACGAGGCCAGCATGGGTTACTGGATGCTCTGTTCATATTGGGTTGTGGAAGAGAGATGCCACTGCTGTGTCAGGGCAAAGGTCTCTCTTCTGAGCCAGGAGGATGGAGCGGGACAGGACATTGAATAAATGCAAGACCCATAAACAAACAAGAATGTTTCCAGGTGGAAGACCTCACGGCATGAGAGCCCACGCCACTGTATGAAGTCAAAGCAGGGATTCCAGGTAAAGTTTTCTTAGGCTATGTTCATTTGAGAGAAAGTCATAATGTCCCAATACGAGAACAATCTTTTGAGTATTCACTTACCTATTGAAGTGGTAGATATCCTGTATGTTTCCAAAAAGGGCTGATCTTTCTTCTGTCCCCAGAGGAAGTTTCGTTTGGTCCCTGATGCAGTCAAGGTAATCCTGTGGAATCAACGAGAAGGATGTTGAGCACTGTGGTCCTTCACCTCAGCTCCAGTTGGCAAGATGTGTCTTTCACATCCGTTTCAAGTGACTATTATACTAAAGTGCTCATTAATTCTACTATGAGAATACAGAGTCTCTCTTTTATTAATGATGATAATACTTAACATATTCATAGAATGGGGATTTTGAGCAAAGAGAGTATCATATACATTTAATGATCTACCTGCCCTCGGCCCGAAAACATCATCTGCTGTTTCCTTGAATGATATGATATGATACCTTGATATGGTAAAAGATACTTCAAAATTCATACAGTGAGAAACCAGAAATACAGATCTTAAAATTTCTCATGGCAAGAAAAATAATTTGTAACTATGTGAAGTAATAGATGTTAAACTTATTTACTTAACACACTATCACACACTATATATATATATATATACGTATATATTATAAACCTTAATATAATGTTATATGTCAATTGTATCTTAATAAAACTAGAAAAAAGTGACAAAGTTGATTTAAACATAACCTTCAAGTTAGAAAGCACTCAGTTGTTATAGAACTAAATTGATCCCCAAATACCAACTTATTTTTAAAAAGTTTTTTTTAAAACACTTAACTCAGGCTATCTAATAGGCGATGTTAACGCCCCATGGGAAACTTTGAAATGATTTGATCTGTTTTAGCATAGAAACAGCTGCAGACTAGCTAACTGGGACTCAGACCCACAGTGGGTTAAATGCACGTGGTTTGGTAGCTATTTGAACTGCTGAGAGGCGAACTCCTTATTGCCCCGTGTGCTAACCAGTTCGTAACTGAGTCTTCTTCCTGCAGCATTCTTGAAAAAAGACCTCTGTAGGAGGCAAAAACACAATAAAGACAAAAGTGAAACCAGCTGAAATAACGTAAAATAAAAAATAAACACAGTCCCCTGCCCTGTATGATGTACTATAACCCTCTACCAAACACTTTGCAGCACTTAAAAGAAGCAACCCTGTGAAAAGTCAGGCAGACCATGAAAATCCCAGCACTATAACCTCAATCCAAAGTCCAGTCACAATTACGATAGGATTTAGATGCAACTAGCAAAAGCGGGAACTGAAATGTAAGAAGCATCAGATAATTGTTTCTTTTCTTTTAATAATCCACATTGATTCCCTCATGCGCTTTGTGTTCCGCCGATGAAAAACAGGCAGGGTTTCGTCGTTAACTTTCCCAGTAGCACATTTCACAGATGACATCAAATAACTGTTCAACATTCCAGTTTTTTAGCATTAAGATCATTGTCATGCATGAATTATTGTTCATAATTTTTTGTTTTTGAAACTAGCTTTGTGGTAACATCTGTTCTTCTTAAGAAAGTGGTCATCTCAATAAGAAATTAGATTCACAGAGTTTAAGTGCATTTGTCATTAAAAACCCACAAGAGCAAGCCCTAGTCTCCTTACTTTTATGAATGGGACAATTATAAGAGGCTTACGTGTCTGCAGAGCATGCAGAGGTGCCCAGATGAGAAATGCTGTCACAGCATTTTGAACACGTAAAACCTAAACTACATTTCCTCAACAAAACAAAACTAAAACATGCATTCATGCATATCTTCATAAATTTGTACATGGTACATGGTTCCCAAGGATGGGCTAATATTGAACTTGCACTGAATGGTTACATTTGATAGTTGCTTTGATCAACATTTTAAAAGGACAAATTGTACACAGAATTAAGAAGGTAGAACCGAAGGATATGAATAGATATGAAATTAAAGAGGAAACCAGAAGGCTATGGATGGGCATGATGGGCACCAAAAGGCAGGATGGAGGGAGGGGCAGAGGGGACGGATTCACGCCAAATCCATCTGGCTGGCGCAATGGGGTTTAATGAGAAAACGAACAATCCTTTTTCTCACTTCAAGCGCGAAGCTTGCTCATTTGCAGAAACCTGAAACTAAATTCTTCATGTGAGGGAAAGATTGAGTTAAGGGGCTTAAAGAATTTCATCTGGGGTGAGAGACAAAGAATGCGGCCCCCTTCCAGCAAATGATGGCCTGTGGCCAACTGAAAGCATTTCAAAACCCCAGAGTCTGTGGTAGAGAAACTAGATTGTAAAAGCTGCTTGTTTTCTGAAATCGTTGAGAAAATACATCGTTAGGAGTCCAGATTTTTGCAGGCCACTCTAGAAAACAGATCAAAGTCAAATGGCCACAACTTGTTACCCCTGCTGATCATAATTAAGTCCTTTAAAAGGATACTTTAACCCGAAACCAGTTACTGAAACCTACTGTAGCATGCGTTAGCAGTTGCAATCATCTCAGGCCAAAATGAGAGGTTTGTAGCTCAGTGATAATAAGAGCTCATTCTGTGCTCAAACGACAGTGCAAAGACACCAAAAAATTTATGAGAGACTGTTGCACTGCTTATTAATTTTATTGGCTTAATGTGAGCGCCTATTGCTACCCTACTGTTAACAACGAAGGATCCATTGAAAACGTTTGCATTGAAAACAATTATTCTCCAAGAGGATCAAGAATTTACTCAGGGGCCCTGGCTGGTTACTCAGCGGTTAGAGCGTCGGCCTGCGGTCCAGAGAGACCCGGGTTCAGTTCCCGCTAAGGGCGCGTACCTCGGTTGCAGTTTGATCCCGCCCTGATTGGGTCGTGTGGGTGGCAGCCAGGTGATGTGTCCCTTTCACATCGATGTTTCTCTCTCTCTCTCCCTCCCACTCTATCTGAACAAAAAATGGAAAAAAATGTTCTCAGGTGAGGATAAAAAAAAAAAAAAAAGAATTTACTCGGGGGAGATACACTCACACAAAGAACTTTTCACCACTTGGATCGTTTTGTTACATAGTTTTAAGTTTTCCCTAAGGTATTTATTTTCCCATCAATTTATACCCTTAAGATCTCCACCACTGTAATATTTGTCCATGAGTTTCCTCTCATTAACTTTTTCATTCCTTGTAATGTCTATACTGAAAATATACGATCATCTAACTTGGTGCTGTTTGAGGTGTGGTCAGTGAACAGGAGCCTGTCTGCGGGCTGTTGGTTACTGATCTGCAGCAAGGTTAGTGCAAAAGGAGAGGGAGCGCTGGAGACTTTCATTTTGACAGAATGAGATATGCCGAATCTAATGATACATTTGGACTTGTATTTTGCCTGTCTGATTTATTCTACTTTATTTTTCTAGTAGTTTTATTATTGTATTTTTCAACTGTGTCATTGTGTGATTGATCAGAATACACACACACACACACACACACACACACACACACATGTTCCTCATGACAGTTAGTTTGAGAAGCCTGGTTTGGATAACTGTCCAGCAGAGATATTGTAGAAGTTGGGGAAGAATTCAATTCAGATTCAAATAAAAAAAGGTTCTGTTCATGCCTGGGCCGGTTTTGCTCAGTGGTTAGAGCGTCAGCCCGCAGACTGAAGGGTCATAGGTTCAATTCCTGGCCAAGGGCACATACCTGGGTTGCAGGTTAGATCCCCAGCCCTTGTGGCCATGTGGGAGACAACCATTCAATGTGTCTCTCTCACAATGATGTTTCTCTCTCTTTCTCCCTCCCACTTTATCTAAAAATAAATGAAAAAATATCCTTGGGTGAGGATGAACAAAAAAAAAATGTTCTGTTCATAAATCCTGCTCATATTTCAAAATTCTATCTACTGATATTGTGGTTTATCCTTTTGATCTAATTTCTGTTGTTAGCATCCCCAAATTCCAAGTCTTTTGCTATAATTCCTCTTGAAGGCGTTTTGGAGGAAGCACCTTCTCCTGCTTCTCCACCTCCACCTTCTCCAGCAGCCAGTCATCTCTTCATCCACAAACCTGCCTCCCGAACATCGGTGTTACGCTGGGAGGCCACACAGCTTCCACTTGCATGTCAGTTTACAGCTTAAAAGCACATTCATGTTCATTCCCACAGAAATCCCCCTTCTCCCTTTTTTTGAGGACACAGGAATACATGTCAAGTTCTGTTTTACAAGCTAGGAATTTTTAAAAAATGAATAAAACATGATCCCTTCGCCCAGGAAGATCCCTGTGTAGTTGAAAGACAAGTGTAAGCAAATAACTACAATCCAGTTTTAGGCCACACGACTGGTAAACATTCAGCTGCAGCAGAGAGGCGGCCGAGGAGGGAGTGGTCGGTTCCAGGGCAGGGAGAGGCTGGTAGAGCAGGTGACCAGGGCACTGAATCTTTAAGGAGGACCAGGAGTCTGAACACAGAGAAAGGAGCAGGAAGGAGCTGACCACATCCAGGAAGACGAAAAGACTAAACAAAGGCACAGGATAAGGGGCGCACGGTCAGCCAGGGCGCTGAAAGGAGCCGAGAAGAGCTGGAGGTGCAGGGCTCGCCCCTGGCTGCCCAGACTGGGAGGTGGGCTGCAGTAGGGGACCAGGATGGAGTGAGGACAGGGCTGATCCCAGAGAATCTTCCATGCTCTGTAGGTGCTACAACCACTGAAGGATGTAATGAGGCCAAAGCCCATCCCAGTATCAGTAAAGAAAATAGGACAGAAGCTATAAAACGGCCGGTGGGGAGACCAGTTAGACCAGTGCAGCAGCCCCGGTGAGCTCACCCAGGTCCTCCACAGGTTCCTGGGGAGGTGGTATTGAGCTGGGTGAGGAGAATGAGAATGGGAGCCAGTCCAGGGTGAGGGTCCCAGTTGAAGTGACTGAGGGACAGTGATGGCTTTCAAGTGAGGGGAGTCTGGGCTCCTCTCTCTTCTCTCACTTTCCACTTCAAGGAGGAGGGTGCCGTTCCCCTGGCTTCTGGCAAAGACATTTTCTCATCCACGCGACAGTAAGTGAATGGAAAGGCGGTGACACCAATCCCCCATCTCCTCTTCCGTGTGGCTGCAGCATGGGGGGGCCGCTGCTCCCTTCGGGGAGAGGAACGACCAGCTCTCACCCTGCTGCCGGACCTTCGTCCCCAGGTGGCTGTTGGGGCGACACGAGCGGCGCGCTGCTGCTGGGCCTGCGAGACCG